GCCATCCCACGTGCTCCAGGTGGGCCCCAAGCAGGACATCCCCATGAGGGTGGTGCTTTAGGCTGAAGGGGGCAGGGCTGGGATGGAGGAACCCTTTTTCTGCCCCTTTTGGGACAAAAGCCCCTGTGCCAGGAAGCTCCAGCCCACCCAGGGAGGACCTGGGGGCTGGAAGTTGCTGTGCTGAACTCCCTGCTCCTGTGATGGGTACCAGGGCGGATTTGGGAGCTTGCCCTGAGGTCAGGGCTGTGCCAGCCTGGCTGGGTCGCTCTTGGTGTCACTTGTGGCTGTGGCGTCACCTTCAGATCCAGTCCCTGAGCTGGGAGAGGGGATGGAGAGTCATGGACGGGTTCTTCATGTGGAGAAGAGGGCACCTCTTGCCTTGTGCTCTCCATGGGTTTTTGGGCTGCCAGGGATGTAGCAGTGGCTGTACAAGGCCAGCCCAAAGGATGGTCCAGCTTGGGGCCCTGCCTGGGCACGGGCAGCCCAGGGGCTTGGAGCTGGCTCACCATGGTGGGACTGCCCCAACGCCCCCAGTGCCAGCACCTTACCTTTGTGCTGCTGTGCCCCTTCTCCTCTGCAGCTCTGGGACATCTGGGGCATGGAATGGCCCCCGGGGCCGAGCCTGCAGCTTCCCAGAGGAGAACAGGGCCTTTGGCAAGGTCTCAGGCTCTGGGCTCCTTGTTCTCCCCCACAAGGAGCCGTGGATGCTGTTTGAGGGTGCTCAGGGGGTGAAACCTGCTGGGCTTGGTGTCCTGCTCAGGGGGTGAAACCTGCTGGGCTTGGCCGCAGGGGCATGGGTGCCCCCTCTTCTTGGGCTGGCCCCCTTTGGGGACAGGGTTCCTTCCTTCCCCTCGCTGTGATGGGGACGCTGTGGCTGCACCACCCCAGGTGGGGCTCACACCCTCCTGTCAGATTTGTGAGTTCCAGCCCCACTTGGCCCGAGGGTGACGGGGACAAAAACGTCCCTGCCACCATCTGTCCTTTGTGGCGCTGCAGCCAGCGGTGCTGGGAGTAATCTGAAGGGTTTGGGCAACCAAGCCAGGGACTGAAAAGGCTCCTGGGTTCCCAGCAGGGCCTCCACAATGGCAGGAAGCAACTTCTAAAGCTTCCTTTGGATACACAGGGCCTTGGGGGAAAGATTTACTTGCTTGTTTATGCTGGAAGTTAATCTGTTTAGTGGGTTTGACATTAGAGCTCACAAAAAGCCCTCAGAAATGGTCACGCTGCTTGTTTGTAAGGTTTGTCTCTCACTTACTTTGCTTCACAGCTGGAGGAGTTAAGCAGAGACAGAGCCAATTGGAATCTCACGTGTAAGCTTGTTTTTTCAAACAGCCAGAAGGAATTTGGATCAGCTGTCCCCTCCTGCGGCATGAGGGAGCTGCGAGGGGAAGGCAGCGGGGCAGGGACTGGGGTCCCCTCAGGGAGGGACCTTTGTGCCACCTGGGATGGTCAGGGATGGTCCCTGGCCCCGTTCAGGGCGGGAGATGTTTATTCTATAGAAAATCCCACCAAACCAAGCCTGCAGCCCTCCCTGGAGCCACAGGACATTTGTGGGGGACAGAGTCCTGGGAAGGGTTTGGAGAGGCACAGCAGGGCTGGGTTGGGGAGCACAGGACGGTGAGGAGCAGCTCTCCTGGAATGGCAGTGCTGGTGTTTCCCTCGTGTTCTGGATGTGGCAGTGCCACCCACGCTGCCCTTGCACAGGTAAAAGGGATTTTCCCAGGGAGCACGGCCGGAGAAAGCCCTTGGAGGGGGCAGCTGCTGCGGGGAACGTGGGGCACGGGGCTGTGCTGGGCACCCTCTGATCCCAACGCTTCCTTGAGCTCTCGGGAGGAGCTCAGCACCCGCTCTGTGTGGCCATGGACCCAGTGCCAGGTGTCCCTCAGGTTTTTGGGGGTTTCTCCTGCTGAGCCTGAACCCCCCAGGCTTTGCCTCCCCAGCCCAGGAGAGTGGCACAGACCCCTCCCCGCAGGGATGTGCCCTTGTGTCCTGTCCCTGGCCACTGCTGTGCCTCAGTTCCTGCTCAGCAGGAACAGCTCAGGCTGTTGCTGCACTTTGGGAAACACCTTTTTTTTCCCCTCTCTAAATGATGCACTTGCTGAATTTTTATTTTTTTCCCCACGTCTCTGCTGGGACACACAGGAACTCCTGTGCTGAACTTCCACCTTCCCTAGGGATGAGCCTGGGGCTTCCATCCCACCCTGCTGGAGACACCCAGCTCCTGTCGGGCTGTGACCACACCACGGCCGTCCCCAGCCTCAGTCCTCTGGGATTTCACCTGGAGCCAGGAATTGCCCGTGATGCTGGGTGAAACTTCAACCTCCACTGTGGTGACAGTGACTGGTAGAGGCTAAAATTAACTCTTGCATCATGTGGCCAGGGGTTTTTAGAATTGCTGCCAGGAACAAGAGCATTTCCTCTCTGAAAACCGAGCTGTAAAACTGGGCAGCTCTTACTCACATCAGATCCGTGTCATTTCTGTTGGCCTTGGGGTTTTTGAGGAGGAAAACGGAGGCTGCTCTTGCCCTGGCTGGGTTGTGCCAAACTCCCAGAGCCCAGTCCGTGGGCAGGGGTGGGGTGGGGTCGGTGATGTCCAGGGTGGCCTCTCCACCCCTGTCCCAGGCTGCCGTTGGAGGCAATGACTCCTGTCCCTGGACAGACCCAGAGCCACCACAGAGCTCACAGCAGAGCAGAGAGCTGGTGGGGTGCTCCAAAGCCACTGCATGATTTATTGGTTTCCCCTCTTGCTTGGACTCCATCATTTTTAGGGCTCAGGATGATAATCCTGGAGTTTCTGGCCTTACTGGAGTTGTAAGGAAGAAGCCACCAGGAGTGTTGGCTGCTGTGCCTCCTGGGCTATTAGCATGGGTTCACAAAGATTTCGGGCTGGGCAGGGTCCCTGCCAAGCCAAACCACGCCAGGAATAAACTCCTCAGGGAGCAGAGTGCACCTGGCCACCCCCAGCCCGCTCTGGACACCGTAGTTCAGCTGGACCCCCATCAAGATCAATATTCCATGGGGCAGCAATGCAGTTTCCTCCTTTGGCTGCTGGTGAGTGTGGACTTTAATCCCCCAGTGGTTTCTCCCCCTGAGCAGCTGTGCCCTGGGGAGTTTTTGGAGGGGAACTGGGTTTTCCTGCTGAATGCTCCTCTGCAAGCCCTGAGGACTTGGTCCATCTGACAAGGTCACTTACCCCATTGTTCGGGGGGGATAGAAGCCCTTAGAGGTGGCAGATCTTGTGTGTGGCTCCCCAGTAACTCCCAGGTGTGAATTCTGGGTGCTGTGCTCTGACCTTGTGCCTGTTGGGATGCTCTCCCTGCTAATTAATGCTCTGTAATTCCAATGCTCATGGGCAGTCCCTCTGAAAATACCTCAGGTGCCTCTCTGGTGAGGCTACAGAGGCAACTTGTAAACAGTGAATGTGTTACAGCCTGAGCCCCTTCCAGGTGTGCTGGAGAAACTTCTGCTAATGGGGCTTAACCCCCCTGGGGAAGGGACACAGGAGACCTTTCCCTCGGAATGGGGATGAAATCTCCATCGAGGCAGCAGAAATCCGGGCTCTGAGGTTGCGAGGGCAGGAGTGGTGACGGGGGCTCACCCCGGCTGGAAAGCAGATGGAGCAGGCTGGTGATGGGTGCTGGGAAGAGCCTTTCCTGCAGCCCGTGGCAGCAGCTCTGGGGATGGAGCTGTTCTGGCAGTGCCCGGGTGGGCAGATGAGCTCTGTGCTCACAGCAGGAGCGGCTGTCGTGGCTCTGCCCAGCGCCGGGGCTGCCCGAGCCCAGCTTGCCCACCTGTGCCATCCTTCAGGAGAGCTCCAAGCCCTCGTTTGGTGCTGGAGCCGCCTTCCTGTGCCCCCTTGCCCAGCCCTCTGTGGCCACGTGCCCTGCTGGGTACCTGGCAGCCTGGTGAGTGCCGGGCACGGCCCGCTGGGTTCTGCCCAGACCATGTGTGGGGCTTTATTTCTGTGGTTTCTTGCTCTCGGCTGTTGATGTTCCTGGAACTGCTTGTCCCAAACCGGGGCCTGCTGCAGTCCCAGCCCTGCAGCGTGGCCAGAGCTGTCCCTCGGATGTGGCAGGAGCCTGAAATCCTCTCCGGGATAGGAAAGGGTGCCACAACTTCCCCCGGCCCCGAGCACTTCTCTTTTCGGCGCAGCACACGGAAGGTGGGGTAAGAAGATCTCTGAAATTGCAGAAGTGTGGGTTGCTCTTGGAAACCGTGTCCAGGCAGGGGCTGGGGAGGGGGATCAGTGTGGGGATGGATTTGGGATTTGGCTGCTGGCCTGGGGCTTCCTCCTCAGCTGGGAAGTGTCACAATGGCAGGAGACTAGAGCAGGGGGGGCTGCAGGCTCCAGGGAGTTGCCTTCTCCCATTTTTCCACCCTTGGGAAGCACATCCCATGTCCTTGCTCACTCATGGATTCTTTTAGGTCTCCTGCCGGAATATTCCAGCTTTGGGATGGTTCTCTTGTGCTGCTGGGAGGGAGAGCCCTCAGGCCGTGCTCTGGGGATGCTCTTGGCCGCTCCCCCTGAGGCTGCCGGGCTTTTGGCTGGAATTTCCTTTGACCTCATTTGATTACCGAGCCCTACCAGCTCAGCACTAGGGCAAAACATCCCAGGGAAAGTGGCTTATGCAAAAATACCCGGAGCCGGTGCATTTCCAGAGACACAAAGGACTTTCCAAGGTCACACCACAGATTCTGAGCCTGGGAACAGCTCCCCAGGGCAGCTGAGGGGGAGAGGAGGAGTTGGAGCTGTGGGGGAGAGCAGCAGCAGTTTGGGGCATGCTGTGGATGGCTCAGGGGTCACCTTGTCCCTGCGGGTCGGGGTTCCCCAGCCGGGGCTGGGCTCGGGCTCCTGCCAGGTTTGGGGTCTGGGGAAGGAGAAGGAGCATCCCCAGTGAGGGGAGCAGCCCGACCTCTCCAGCTGCTCAGAGATGCTGGGAGGGGCTGGAGGGAAAGCTGGCAGTGCGTGGGGAGAGGAGGTGCCGCCACAGGGAAGTGTCTGAGGGCTGGCAGTGGGCACGGGCGGAGTGGAGCCGTCCTGAGTGGCGCAAGAGCTGCTGCAGCCCCTCTGAGCTCTCCCCACATGCCCAGGGGTGGCCCTGGCACCTTGGGTGAGTTTGCTTTTCTCTCAGCTTTTCTCAACCCTTCTCCTGCCAAGGGCACAGTGGAGCAGCAGGTCCATGGCTGGGGCCGGAGCCACGAGGACTCCTTTGGATGGGATGGGGTGGGATGAAGGATCATGGTCAGCAGCAGTAAGGGACATATTTTGGGTCCCTTTGATGCAGATTTAACCCCAAATCTCTTGGTCCAGCCTGGGCCCCTCGGAGCTGAGACCCTCTCTGCCAGGTGGTGCCTTGTTGTGGGGTGAGGAGCTCTCCCAGCTCAGGGGCATCCTGAGGCCCTGAGTTTCATAGAGTTTGTTGGCATTTTCCCTCCCCCAGCTTCATCTGTAACAACCGCCCTTGAGATCAGCACTTTGAAGCCTTAATTGCAATTATGACTCTTCCTCTGTTCCCAGGTCTCCCCTAATTGGCTTCCTGGGTGATCTCACAGAGCTGCTGAAAGCAGGGCCCTGGTTTTGTCAGGGGGTCTCTGGTTTTGTCAGGGGGTCTCTGGTTTTGTGAGGGGGTCTCTGGTTTTGTCAGGAGCCGCTGGTTTTTTCAGGGAGCCTCTGGTTTTTCAGGGAGCCACTGTTTTTTTTAGGGAGACGCTGTTTTTTTCAGGGAGCCACTGGTTTTTTTTGGGAGACGCTGTTTTTTCAGGGAACCGCTGGTTTTTTTAGGGAGCCGCTGGTTTTTTCAGGGAGCTGCTGGTTTTTTTAGGGAGCCGCTGGTTTTTCAGGGAGCCGCTGGTTTTTTTTTAGGGAGCCGCTGGTTTTTTTAGGGAGCCTCTGGTTTTTCAGGGAGCCCTGGCGCGGGACTCCCGGCTCGGCCGCTGTGCCCAGATGCTCACAAGGGTGGCATTATAGCGACCCTAAGCTGATTTACATGCTTGCATTTGCAAAGCGCTAATCTAGTGGGATTTTTTTTTTTTTCTTTTCCCCCTCCTCTCCTTTTCTTTTCAGCCCCCTCTAATCTGCTGCTCTCCCTGCCAGGTTCCCAGCTCCTTTGGCTGGAATAGGCCCCAGCTAAATC